CCCTTACAATCCAGGGAGGGGTACTGGAAGTTGTGGAGCGTTTTACTTATCTTGGAAGTTGTATTAGTTCTGATTGTAGTGTGGCAGATTAGGTGAATGCGCGAATCTGCAAGGCTCGGGCCGCGTTTGCTATCTTGAGACGCCCATGGCGTCAGAATGGTTTATCTCCGAATCTGAAGGGACGTGTGTATCAAGCTACAGTACGGGCTGTCTTATTGTATGGCTGAGACTTGGCCTATTCGAGCAGCGGAACTGAGACGTCTTCAGGTGTTCGACAATCATTGTCTGAGAACCATAGCTCGTGTGGGTTGGTGTCGGCGAATCCGTAATGAGGCAGTTAGAAAGCGTGTTTTCGGTTGTGTAATGGGTACTTCCATTGAAGAATGTTTCCAGCATCAGAAGCTGCGTTGGTTGGGACATGTGTTGCGTATGCTGAACTATCGTTTGCCGAAGAGGGTGCATTTTTCCATGCCCAATTCAGAGTGGCGTAAACAGAGAGGTGGCCTACCCATTACCTGGCAGAGGAGTATGAAGGAGATCACGAAACGCTTGGGTGCTGTCGGTGCTACTCGCCTTCCAGGATGGGGACCACGTGATCCTCACTGTACCTGGTTGGAGACATTACTGGATATGGCTGCCAACCGATGTCAGTGGCGTTCTTGTTGTCAGTTTCCATCCAGATTGCCTGAGTGAATGAGTGGGGGTGTAGGCACCTTGGAATCATTGTGTTAAGCTAACACTAAGTCCCTTCCCCGTCCACCTTTATTCCTTTCTTCACACTAATGCTTTCAAATAAGTCATGGTTGTATGGCAGTGAAGCATCGGTGTTGAACACTGATGTCATGCTGTCGATGATGATGATGAGGAGGAGGAGGATGAACGTCTGGAGATTCGCGAGAGAGATGCCAAGTCGGGGTAATGTTAAATGAGAGCTACAATAGTCTAAATGATTACTGGTGGATCATCGTGTACTCCTTGCTGCGGAGTTTCAGGCGTTGCACAATATAATTTTGAAAATTGCGCATCACGCAGGAGTTGCGTTCTGCTATTGTGGGATACGTTGGTAGATCAGGTCTGGTTGGTGTTCGCTGGTCTTTTTGCGGAGCTGGTCGATTTTTTCTTGCAAATGTTTTAACACTGGTTGTCCATTATTCAGAGCTATAAGACCTGTACCTAGACGACATTTTTTCATGATGAAACGAGATTCAATATACAATGAGAATGAACTGCTCAACACCCAGTATGAAGGTATCGGATTTACAGTGGAACTGAACAGAAACGGCCTAATAGCGTTTTTTGATGTTTTAGTGAACAGATAGTCAGATGGGACTCTGGAAACCTGCGTACTCATTTAAGAGACGCATAAAATACAAATACTGAAACCTAACAGCAAACGTCCTATAGACCACAGAAAGAAATGCGATCAAACCCTGCTTTGGAAGGGCGGAGTCACATTGCAGTACCACAGAACCTAAGAAGAGCGAGGAAAACCCGAAGAAAATCGGAACAATGGGTGCCAGGGAATTTTATCAACGGAAGCTTCAAAAAAGCCCAGAAACAGTAAACACAAATCGTGACAAGATGGATAGTTCCTACTTCAATGAAGAATAAGCTTTAACTTGGTCAAACTAGCAGCCCAGAAAGGATTCAACGTACCACGAAAACCGAATGCGATTTTATAGAATTTGATCTCAAGGCAGAAGTAGAGGGAATAACGTGATATAGCTTAGCTCAACCATAGATATACTGAGAGGAAATAAACAAAGGAACGTAGCACAGCCGTAAGGCTACATGTGCCCCTGTCCTTGGTGTCCATTAATCAGGACCAAGGAAGGAATAAATTCAGCCTGTAAGGTGCAAAATCTTGGCACACGGATACACGGAAGGGAATTCTGCGAAGCACTTCACTTCAGGATGGAATCGACCAGCCGAGTGTTGACCTAGACCTAGTTTACGCACTACTATGTGCACAGGAGCAACATTTAAATTTGAACCTATCCGTGGACTACGAAACGCGTCTCGCGATGCTTGCTCTCTTTCCCCTGAAGTACCGTCGCCTCCGAGGGGACCTAATTCTTACTTGCGCCCTGTTTGAACAAAGCTTGGCAAACTGGTTTTTTACCGTTCACCCAGCAAACACCCGGCGGGGACATAGTAAGAAAATTTTCAAGCTCAGGGCACACACATTCATTAGACAAAACTTTTTTCATTTCGGGTCGTAGCTACGTGGAATGACCTTCCTCCGACGGTCGTACGCGCTCCTTCTCGAACCCAATTTTAAGCCCAATTAGACATTTATTTGTGCGAATCCTCGCGCTGGCAAGCATACTGCCCCGCGCTGAGAACATAAAGAGCAGTGCTACACCCTTTTTTCACTTGTGCCTTTCAGGTGAACGACAGCCACTGACCGACAAGAACAAAACCGACCCGGAAAACTTGGGCAAAAGCCTCGATCCTGTGTATCAATCCGTGAAATCCGTGAACACTCAAAGGAAGGGCGCTCAGTATTCGCACAATAAAATTGAATTTTCGGCAGCCATGACGTGCTCCTGATGGGTTAAAGCAATCGGGCAACTAAGTTACGGGTACCACTGCAAGCTTTTGAACCCCATTCAGGCTTATCGATGTTGAGAAATTATTCCGCCAGACTCTTCCTTCAGAGGAATGATTACTTCAGTGGACAATGATATTTGGCAGGCTGCAAAAATATGTGAGTAGATTAGGATAGTTACTGGTTTGAGCGCATACGCTACAAAACGCAACGCAGAAAGTGTTACACCACGCGTAGAAGTTTTTCACCCTAGAGAACTGTGCGGCTAATGTGCGCCCCAAAGAGAGCCGAATATCGAAAAAATCAAACAACAAAAGAACGCCCTAAAAACAGAGCATTGACGACTACAAACAAGAACGTAGAGAAATCAACGACAGAAGTCAATCCGGCACCAACCACGGCACAATAGAATGAGTAGGCCTACGTCAGCGGTCGCAATTCCACCAACTAAACAGGCCCGCTTATTGGAAATAAACACAAATTACTTTGAGCGAAATTATAGGGTTGATGGAAAATTTGACTTTTAGTCTACTCCATCAGCGCAATGAGTTAACATCATTTTGCTCACAGCATCTTGTTTAAGTTCAATGCCATCGATTCACACCGATTAGCATTTGGTTACTTTTTCATGAGTAATAATAAGAATAGTGTTCATTCCCAACTTGTGGGTGGCAAACCGTCTGGCATGATCATGCATTTACAGTCAGAATGGGGAATGACTGGGGGGTTGAGGGTAGCGGGGATTCCGCGAAAAGGGGACGATGTCATGAAGAGAGAGAAGTATTTGATGAATTAATAATAACGGGTTTCTTTCGCAACCTGCGATAAAACACGAAATCAAGCTGTGGCAGATATTATCATTCCGCACCGTTTTTTACAAGCGAGACAACCACAGGATACCCGGTTCAAATACGAAACTAAAACGTTGCACTGACATTTGCATGCACGACAGACTTTCTGGGAAATTCGTGTCGCCTTCAGTAGAATGATGGAGGATAATTTGACACTCTCCCGTATTATTGATAGTATGGGTCTCGAAGAAAGCTCACAATTCTACGATGTCACAAATAACATGCGTATTGTGCGGCGTAATGAAACAACTGAATGTCAGTTTATAACACACAGTATCTCTCTAAATGGAGAGCAATTGCGATCCTTATTTGGAATATGCCGTCTAGTGCAAATACCATTGCCTGCCATCACATTAAGAATACGCACTACCACCCGTCTTGGCTACTAATCGTAGCCCTTAAAGGGAATGTCTTTGTGCGACGATGATTATGGGGCCTCAGCCACGCACGGTAATCTAATCCAATGGCACACGATGGCTCGCCGTACTCAGAACTGTAATCGATATCGCCCACGTTGGCTACCCTTCTTAACTGTTAAGCCCGTATATATGCACGAGGGCGGTTTTGAGGTCAAAACTATGCACAACAGGCAAATCCAACGGCCGATTACGGTCCTCCATCCTCACACATGTTCACATTGTTGCTCACCTTGGCTTCTTATGATAACTATTGTACCATTACCCATGCATGTAGTTGAGTATAAGGACGAAACTACACATGGTAGCCTAGTCCGATCACAAACGACCGCCTGACATATCACATATGTTGTCCGTCTGCCAAGCTGATGTCTGAAAAGTGCACAACCATCACTTGGTAATTATGTTTTTATTTATTTGTTGCATCGGTGTAGACGTAATGTGAATCAGGTGAGTCAAGTCCTCATCTTCAAGAGGCTACTTTCAAACGAAAGGGCTTCTTAAAGGGATATCGTATAATCAATCACATATCACGTACAT